CAGCCCCACCCCCACCCCCACCAGCCCCTTTCACCTGCCTGGTGATTATCTCTTTTCTGTATAGTTTTGAGATGCAGTTCCATTCCAAGCATATCCCACTTTCCTGACACAACCAAACCCTTACCTTGCTTTAAGATTTGATCAGAGGAAGCTGTATACCGAATTTCGTGATTCTAGCTCTTAGCATTTAAGGGGAGTTCCTGAATATACATAGACAAATTCGCTCATCTATATCTATATCTATATCTATATCTATATCTATAGTAGATAATAGTAACAGAATATTTTCATAACATAACATTTTCCAGTTGTCCTTTCTTAAGCAGATATTTAAGAAGACGCATGCTAACAGACATTAAACAGGTGTCTTTTCAATGACCTAGCTTTACCCTGCCAGTATTTGGAAATTTAGCGTATAGTCCCTACTTTTTAAGAGTAAACTAAAGGAGGGAAGAAAATTACTTGTTTGAGCCTCACTAATAGGTCAGGTTTTTTTAGGTCATCCATATACTATAGTGACAGGTACTTTATATAAAAGTTTAATAATTTTAAAATTACACTTATCTAACCTTTCTAAATGCAAATTTCCACACTGCTGGCTCTATATGCTATTTCTGTAATATACATTTGGAAAACAATGATATATGTGCAGCATTCCTGATATGTGTTTTACTGTGTTCTGCCAGGGTTTTGAACTGCTGCTTTCAGCTTTGGGAGATCCCTCGGAACGAGTTGTTAGTGCAACACATCAGGTATTTTTACCCGCCTATGCTGCATGGACTACAGAACTGGGCAATTTACAGACGCATCTTATACCCACGCTGCTTAATAAGATTGAAAAGTTACTCAGGGTAGGTATTCCGTTCATACATCTGAGTTTTCTTTGTCTATAGTTTTCTCTGATATGCACACTTAATTTTCATATAACTTTAAAAAAAAGTTATTTCTGTGATTTGTGGGGAGAATTCTTTAGGAGATTTTTGTGTGGGATTCCATAGCTTTTGCTCTTAAATTTAGTGGAAATGGTATGAAACAATCAGTTAAATGATTTGAAGTAATCAAAATGGATAATTCTAAAATAAAAACATTGTCAAGAAATAAATAGCAAAACTGGAAGCACTCCTTGCCTCAGGAGTGCAGATTATGTATTTTTGAATTCTCTTATTGATGAGTAGTTTTGTGAATTTAGGGATGCAACTTTCTTATCGATACTGTACCTTAAATATGAATCTTGATCCTTCAGAATATGAGTGACTGTGGAACCTAATCGCTGTTAAGAACTAAACACAACACTTAATTATATTATTTTTTCTAACACTAGCAGGTAACTGCACACACAAATATTGTGACGTAATGAGTCTTGCTTTTTTGCTCCTGCAGGTATAGAAGTGTTCAAGGAGTATTTCTGTTGAACATCCTTTAGAGAGACTAAGATACTGTGGTGATAGGGGACAGATAATTGTGTGCCCATTAAACTAGCAAAAAATATGAACACACTTAAAAGGTCTTATACTTTTATTTCAGGAAGGAGAGCATGGGCTGGATGAACATAAGCTACACATGTATCTTTCCGCTTTGCAGTCCTTGATTCCATCACTGTTTTCACTGGTACTACAGAATGCACCTTTTACTAGCAAAGCTAAACTCCAAGGTGAAGTGCCACCAATAGAAGGTACTTAGTTCATTAAATACTATGAACACTTTTTCTAGAATCCAAGCAAAGGTAAACTGGTAAATCATCATCAATTGATATTAAATGTATAGCAGGGGAAGGGAGCTAGAAACTCTGTAGGGACCGATAAAACTATTTTAGTTGGAATGTGTGAGTGTGTATGCTTCTTATGTAGACATAAACTGTGTAAATTGTAATGTAAACTTTGTAGCTTTATGTAACATTGTGTTTACCATTGTGGTTTTAGGTTTCCAAACCCAGGGAATTTTTTTTTTTTTTTAAATCTCCCACTTTTTCATGTTGTGTCGCTACAAATTTACATAAGTAGTACATCTCTGGAGGTGTTTGAATTTCCCTTAATGTAACCACATCAATAGCTCCCAGGACTAGCATTTTTTTTTAAAATCTCCCACTTTTTCATGTTGTCACTACAAATTTATTGAAGTAGTACATCTCTGGAGGTGTTTGAATTTCCCTTAATGTAACCACATCAATAGCTCCCAGGACTAGCCTATGAAGTCTAGATGGGTAGTCATGTTAGTCTGTATCTGCAAAAACAATGAGGAGTCCTGAGACTCCTTAAAGACCAACAGATGTATTTGGGCATAAACTTTTTTTCAGGGTACAGTTATATACATGTTTAGGATTCAGTATAAAAATGTTAATATTTATAACCACTATGTTAAAACTATTGTCTTAGTCATAGGCTTGTCTCCAGAATTCTCCTTGTTTGCCGTATTTTGTTTTGTATATTGATGAATTTGGGCATCAAACACTTAATCAAAAACAAATCATTCTATTCATCTTTTCATATTAAAAAGGGAATAGTCTTGTGATTTTATGCATAGTACTGGGAATAAAGAGAGCCAGTTTTCTATTTCTTGTTTCTCCGTAAACTTGCTATGAGATCTTTGGAGAACCTCCTGGTCTCTCTTCCTATATCTCATACCTTTCAACCACCTTCCCTGTCTGGAAAATCCCCACTGACTTTTAAGACTTAGATTTGACTTATTTATTTTCTTTAAGCACTTAGCCTTAGATGGAACATGCTGTAGAAGTTCAAATTAATAATTATTATTTTTATTTATTAACATTACATCAAGATTATCCTTTGCTCTTTTTTAACATATGGTTATATCTTCTGCCTTTACAGTGACTAGGTTCCCTCGGCCTGTGTCACCTCTTCAGGATGTGGCTACTATCATTGGAAGCCGTGAGCAGCTAGCTGTGCTGCTGCAGCTTTACGATTATCAATTGGAACTTGAGGGTACCACAGGCTGGGAGACTTTGCTATGGGTTGTCAATCAACTGTGAGTGTACCTGGCTTTCATTCCTTGTGATACAAAAATGTTGTGGCTTCTAAACAGTTGTGTGAAAAAGTTCTTTTCAATATCTAACTATCATTTACATTTACTTCACATACTAAAAATCCTAGCATTCCACTCTTTCTGATTTGCTCAGGGAAAAAAAAGCCTTTAATGTGTTGTTAGATGAATATTGTTTGTACCTAAAAATTAAAATTTTTCTCTGTGCATTATGGAACTAAGTATTCTTGCATTTTAAGACCCTTACAGACTATGGTAATCCACAATAAAAGGCGGGGGGGTATTTGAAATTTCAAGTGCCAGATGTTCCTGATGGGATAGTATTCCACCACCCCCAAGCTAAGCGAATTAAAGAATGTTAATGTTGTTGTATTATTGGGATTTGAAATGACAGTGATCAGAAATGTCAGTGCTGTGCAAAGTTAAATCAGTTTGTGGGGTAAAGTGAAATCACAGAGAAGAAACATGCAGAGTAACTTTTAATGAGCTGCTACTTTTTCTCTTTTAGGTTACCACAGCTTATAGAAATAGTTGGCAAAATCAATGTTGCCTCAACTGCCTGTGTCCATGAATTCTCCAGGTTTTTCTGGCGGCTCTGCAGGACATTCGGGAAAATTTTCACAAACACTAAGGTAATAGAGTTCTTCTGTATCCGCTTAGGTCAGTTAAATATAGGAATACTTAATAAACAGTATCATATTTACATTATGTGAATACATGAGATATGGTGTGACCGCGCCCCAGGGGGTGGGTCCGTCGTCCCCGGTCCTTCCCTCCCTTTACCCAGTCTTGGGACGTCGGGCCCTCTGAAGCCGGGCTGCTCAGCCCTTTTTGGCTGACAACTTTAGTCACTTGTCCATATATTTCGCCAAGTTTGGTCTCCGCCCAAGATGGAGGAGAAAGGGGGGTCAGAGCCCGCCCTCACTTGCGGGCCCCAGCCCAGGACCCTAAGGACTCAGACTGCCACGCAGTCCTAGTCCGGCTGACGGGGTTGCGACCCTAAACGCGCCAACCCACGGGCTTGGTTCACCACCCTGCTCTGGGCTACTTCCTTTCTCCTCCTAGTCCCTCGTCCCCTGTTTGCTACTCCCCCCTCCGTGATGAGCCTTACCGGCACCCTCTGGTCTCTCCTGCGAGGCGGCTCCGGGCGCCAGCCCCCCTTCTGGCTGCTCCACTCCCTCTCCCCTGCCCTGCCCCCTCTTCGGGATGCCGGCCGGGCGTCCCTCTGATGTCTCCGGCGTAAGCCCCGCCTTCTACTCTGGCGTGCTGGGTGATCCACCCCTCCCCCTTCCGGTGGCCGCCCCGGCGTTCCCCAGCCACGCCACGGCCCGGGAGCATCTGGCGCACGGCCAGTAGGCGCTCCCCAGCAGCATCAATAAGGCGCTCGCCCCCCTGGGCTCAGTGCGGGGTCTCGGCACCCCGTCACACATGGGTTATAATATGTCATTCCAGGGTCAAAAATCACTTGACACATTTTCATTTGCATGTCTTAAAGCTTCTCTTGGCCACAATCTCTTCTTTCTCTCCTCTCATCTTGGAGTCCATTTGGTGCTCAGACCTTTCATGATATCTCTCTGTCCGTGCTATAGGTGGATATTTCAGACTTCCATAGGGAAGAGCCCATTTACTCTTTAATTTCTCTTGGTTGGTGGACACATTGGGCTGCAGACTCTGGCCTAATTTCAATCCTTTATTGTAGTGTGTTATTCAGTACATCTTAGTGCCAAAACTTATTCACACATATCTACATGTCCTTCCTTCATTTGTTATTTGATGGTTGATTTTAAAATAAGTATTCTCTTTGATCGGTGTGTTTAAGGAATGAAAGGCCATTGTACATCAACAAAGAATATTTCAGAAGATTATTTTGAGTGTTATTTCAGTAACATTTTTAGAGATGCAAAGATCAGCTGAAAAAATAGTCTTTGAAAATATTTTATAGTAAATGTTTGCGCTGAATTTATTTCTATCTTTTAAAGAAGCATTTGCAAAGACTGACACAAGTATTGTGGAGCCATAACAAGTATCTCCATAGACAAGTCTAATTCTAGTTTCTAAAATCACTTTTGGACATGAGTCCTAAATGTAAAGCCTTTTGGAAGCTGTCATCACAAGCTGGGGGAAAAAATTGGAGAAGTTTCAGGGAAATGAGCCAGTATATGCATGTAGTGGGTTGTAAAACCTGAATCCTTTCTCTCCCCTTTCTTCCCCCCTCCGCTTGCCACCATTTCTGCAGGAAGCATAATTTTTTGAGATAATGTGCAGATCGAATAGAGCTTGCGGAGTGTCTCCACATTGCCGAGTGTCTTCAGCCTTATGAGTCAATGATTGAAGGTGTTTTCCCCCCTCATTAGGTATCAGGTACTCAGTATAAGACTTGGGTACATGAGCTCACACTTCCCTTGAGTTTTGATAAAACTTGGGGAAATTTTTAGTCTCTCAAATTTTTGTTTATATGGCCTTTATCTCTTTTATATATAAATAACACCTGTTACAGATTTTCATAAATTTTATCCATTCCTTAGGTAAAACCACAATTCCAAGAAATCTTGAGACTATCTGAAGAAAACATTGGTGAGTAGCATGAGTAAATTAATAAAAATCAACCTTAGCCTAAACCTAAAACTGGAAATTACTTGCTTCTGGAATTTATCTGTGACAGGATACGTCTAGACTACATGCCTCTGTCGCCAGAGGCATGTAGATGAGGCTACCAGGCATAGGAAAATGAAGCGGCGATTTAAATATCGCCGTTTCATTTAAATTTACATAGCTGCCGCGCTGAGCCGACAAATAGCTGGTCAGCTGTTTGTAGGCTCAGCGCGGCAGCTATGTAAATTTAAATGAAACGGCGATATTTAAATCGCCGCTTCATTTAAATTTACATAGCTGCCGCGCTGAGCCGACAAATAGCTGGTCAGCTGTTTGTAGGCTCAGCGCGGCAGCTATGTAAATTTAAATGAAACGGCGATATTTAAATCGCCGCTTCATTTTCCTATGCCTGGTAGCCTCATCTACATGCCTCTGGCGACAAAGGCATGTAGTCTAGACTTATGCAAAGTGATTAACATTAAAACAGTCTAATCAGAAGTTTGTTTGAAAATAGAATTCATTTTAAATTGTCAAGGCTGCCTTAATTATGTTTTTAAATGAAAATATTTTATAATACTATCTATTGTAATTGAAAGGCAAAAGGAAACTAGCTTAGTGCTTTTGAAAATTAGGTCACTTATGTAGGTTACTAAATAAGGATTTAAGCATAATTTTAGACACCTGTTTTTTAACATCTTGATATGAGTCTGTAGCCAGAACTATAAAATACATTTTGACCTGTTCGAACATTCTTGTGCACTTTAAAATAAATTGTTAATGCTGCTACTGAACTAATTGTTAATTGTTAATGCTGCTACTGAACTACATACCCAAATGTCTCAACTACAAATACCAGTTTAGCAGTACCACTCTTGAGTTACCTAATGTAGATGACTCCTTGATTCTAGCAGCTGTTTTCAGCACTATTTTGATTAGATGTGCCTAATTATATAGGTACATTATTGAAAATGTCTGCTAGGACAAGATAGCCATCTGCACTAAGGATTGCAATGGTGATGCTGAACTGGCATGAGCACCAGGAGGAATTTTTAGTGAATTCCTTGGCGTAGGAACTGTATTTCTCCATTGTTCTTCATCTGTCAAGCTTAGAATGTTTAGTTAACATAGATCTCAAATGTAGTAGTACTCTCTGTACCCTGTCAAAATGCTGAACATGTAAACTTAGTGAATCACTCTTAGAGGTGAAATTTTGTAATATTGCTCAAAAATAATTAATTGTAAGACAAGGAGTTTTGTTTTTAAATTTTTCTGATATATCAATGACTTTAGATTCCACAGCAGGGAATGGGGTACTAACGAAAGCCACAGTTCCCATCTATGCAACAGGAGTCCTTACATGTTATATTCAGGTAAGAATGACTTTTAAAAAACATATCGGTATTAAAATGTAGCACTCACTCTACAGCTCTTTAGTTTACATTCAAACTTCAGACTGTAAAAGAGGGTGAACAGGTTACCATGATAAGTGTCTAAGATGATTTCTGATATAAACAGCAAAAACCCAATTATCTTTAATCTCTGGATAAAGATTGATTTATAATTGGATAGCCATCCTATTTTTGTTTGACGATAAACACATTTTAATGTTTTAGCCTTACTCAGCTTTATGATGTATAAAAGAATTGAAAGATTTTATTTTCAAAATAAGGGTATTTTTCTTTTAACCTTCAAAATGTGGATTTTTTTCTATCCTTGAAAACTTTTAGGTGATTGTGGCCATGTCTGCAGTGGGGAAATTTTCCCATAACAAATGCTAGTCTGTCATCACAGTTCTGATGAACTAATGTTGGCATTGAAAGCTCTAACATACACAAGACTTTCAAATGGACATTATATAGAGTCATTTAGTCAGTTCTGAAATCAGGTATGGTCAAAACAGTTGTAAAAACAAATTGAATTGAGAGCGATATTTTCCCCCCACACTAGGTTTCCACTTATACAAATATTGAGTCAGCTAAATCAGTGGATAAAGCCATGGGAAGGAGGGATTGTAAATTTTTCAAGTGTAGAAGAGGCTTGGATGTCTAGATTTGACAGATACCATGTGAGGTAGTAAAATTTTGACTTATTTTTCCCCTTCAAATAAACTAGAAATCTTCTGGGTATTTTGTTGGCCTTTCTTTAACTAAAGTATTTGAGCCAAAAGATGTCTCTTTGGGTGTGTCTTTTAACAGAGGGATGTAAATTAGACACTTTGAAATTGCAAATGAAGCCGGGATTTGAATTTCTCATATTTTATTTGCATAATCGTTTCATGGCACTCTTTCAAAAAAGCGCTATTTCGAAAGTGAAACCGCAGTCTAGACAAGATTCTTTCTAAAATAGAAGCCTTTTTCAAAAGATCCTGTAAACCTTTGAGGTTTACAGGATCTTTTGAAAAAGGCTTCTGTTTTCGAAATAGCATTTTTTCAAAAGAGCACCATGGCATGATTATGCAAATAAATCATGGGAAATTCAAATACCGGCTTCATTTGCAATTTTAAGTGTCTAATTTACATCCCTCTGTCGAAAGATGTACCCTTAAGGATTACATCCCATCATTCTAATGACTAAGAAACTCTCCTAAAACATATGAGTCATTCATTAAAAGGACTCTAGAAAACTGAGGACCATATTTGAAATAATTAAGGTTGAAATAAGTACAGATATTCTTCAGAGAGAGAGAACCCTTTTCAAATTTTATTTATACATAATAAGCAAACCTTTACAGATTACCTTTAAAGACTACAGTAGGCGTTTTTTCTTTTTTTGTGAATTAGCAACAAAGTGAATGAGATCTGCTCCAGTGGCATCTTTGGTTTATCATAACTTGTGCATTTTTTTCATTATTGTGGGTCACTTTTCTATTTATTGATTATTGGATGACTGTCTCATTTTTCACTGAGTTTCTCCCATGTTAGGGAAAAGTTGTAAAATCCAAATTTAAAACCTTTGCAGCATAAAAACTTTGCCGTAATGTTCTTTTACAGTGTTGAGGTGAAAAAAGTAACTTTTGTCCACCAAAACCTGGGATCACAAGGCAAACGTACATTTATTAGGACGGTGCTTAACTTTAATATTATATAGCACTGTTATGCTTATGCTAACAAATACCATTCTTGTGGATTTCTTGGTATTTTTTTATTTTAGAATGTTGAGAGTAGGCTAGTTCTATCTTCAGTCTAGTCAAAATAGGCTTGCTGTCTATCAAGTTAATGCAAAAAGTCAGCAAACTGATTCAAATTATCAGACTTCTATTATCCAAATACTTGACGAATTATTTAGTTGCTTTGGTGTGTTGCTGCTGGTAAAAATCGGAGTAGTTCCAAATATTTAAGGTATAGTTTTCAGAAACATTATATAGGTGGAGTTGGTAACACCGTATATTATTAAAGTTGTCCAGAAATTCCCATTATAAGACTCTGTTTTCAGTTGCGTATAACTACGAACTATTAGCTGTTTGCGCTTATATTTCTCATTTAGAATGTCTGTCTGCCTCAGACTACTTCATTTAAATTTCAACCAAAATGTTTGCAAGAATGAAAGTACAGGTTGGGTCTTTAAACTTTCCTTGTCCAAGAACATCTGTGATCTGGCATTCATGGGTGCACCAGGGCTGGAGCACTCAGTGAGAAGCTAGGCCCTGTGCTCAGGAATTCCTACCCCACCCTTCCAGAGCTCCCCAGATAGCTGATTTGTGGCATTCAAGCTTAGAGAGGGAGAGGACCAGGGATGAGGGGCACTCAGGGGAAGTGGCAGAGCAGCTGCAGAGCACAGCCTCACAGGAGCCAGGAGTGCAGCCTAGTCTAGCAAATTCCTTGGTGCCAGACAGGGGAGGTTCAATCTAGTTGTTTTGCCCATATTAAAAAAAAAAAAAATCAGGTGACATTTCATTTGAAAAGCCCTAGCATCGGAGCTTTGGAGTGGAGTAGCCTTTCAAGGATGTGCCTTTTTGCCCTCTGTCTCAAAATTTGGCCAAGTAATAATCCTTTGAAACATCTCAATTTGCACATGCAAAGTAGAAGCTTCTTTGCTTTTATTGATGCTAGGCAACTTTTTAACTCTTCACGGGTGGCCGCTAATTTTGTTTCCCACTTGCTGGATGGTTGTTTTGAGACCCAGAGGAATGGGTAGTGAAATTTATTTGCAGAAGTACTGAGCACTGCCACTGAAATTAGTAAAAACTGTTCTTTGAATATATTAAGTATTGTATAATGCTAAGTACTCTACTCTTTTAAAAAAAAAAAAAAAAACAGGTCCTAGGTGTTTGAGTTGGGCACCAAAATTAGTGGAAACTTGTGACATTAGTCTTTGTTCTTCTTCGAGTGCTTGCTCCTGTCCATTCTGATTAGGTGTACGCGCGCCGCGTGCACGGATTCCGGAGCTTTTTTCCCTTAGCAGTATCCATAGGGCCAGCAGGGAGCCCCCTGGAGTGGCGCCGGTATACCCCTGCTGGCCCTCCCACCCCTCAGTTCCTTCTTACCGCCTGTGACGGTAGCTGGAGCAGTTCTTCAGGCTATTGCCTATCTCTTAGCAGCTTATCTCTTATCCGTTGTATTATAGTTCGCAGTTGTAGTTTCTTATCTAGTTAAGTAGTTGTTAAGTATTGTAAATAGTTATTTAGATAAGGGAGCAGTGGAACCCTCCCACGAGGGGAGGGCATGCCAAGGCCCCAGGGCTTCAAACCCTGTGCCTCCTGCTCCAAGCCTATGCCCTGCGGAGACCCTCATTCT